CAGCCAGGGCACACTGCTGGCTCATGGTTAACCTGTCGTCCACCAGGACCCCCAGGTCCCTCTCCGCAGAGCTGCTCTCCAGTAGGTCCACCCCAAGACTGTACTGGTGTATGGGGTTGTTCCTCCCCAGGTGCAGGACCCTGCGTTTGCCTTTGTTGAACCTCATCAGGTTCCTAAAAAGGCTCAAAGGGCCTCACTCAGGGGCTGTTTATAGGGTTGAAAGATGATTGACTGTGGCCAGTAAATTTCATCCCAGACACAATCTGAGTTGGTAATCACTGGAATTCTCAAAATTCCAGTACCACTTGTACCAGTCCACCAGAGTTACAGTCCAGGTAGGATATGCTCCAAGGCTGTCAGCAGGTGACTGATTATTCCCACTCTCATTCCCCACCTTAGCCAGGCAACCAGAGCTCCTGGTGCCATTCCCCCCTCAGCCTTGCAAGCGTTCCTGGTATGGTCAGGGGACGATTAACCACCAAACTCATTGTGCAGAGGCAAACACTTGATGGGGATTCCTGAGATAGTAAAGCAGTTCAGGAGACGTGAGGGGAGCTGTACCACCGCATCACACCCCATGACTAACATCAATCTCTCTCTTCACAGAGTGGCAGTGTGGTCGCCGCTTGCTGCTGTGCCTACAAACAGAGTAATACTATATTCCAGTTACACTTTGATGGAAAATTTGGTTGGTCTGTAGAATTATTACAATTTGCTAAATATGATTAAGCAACCTTATACATGCAAGAAGGATTTTGTAGTCATGTTACTTGTCGAGCTATCTTCCACACCCTAGCATATAGGCAAATGTTTAACAACAGAGATAATATAACAAGAGTCAACAGAACCACGGTGGGTTGTAGCATCTGATTCAGTATTTCAGTCTCTGTTGGAGACCACCCGAACAAAGTATCCCACCGGTGATGTTCCCCATCTTTCTTCACTCTTTTGAGGACATGGTGTATCTTCTCTGTAGCATGATGGATGGTGATCAGATTTCTTTGTCCGTTGTTCAGGATTTGCTTCAGCAAGTGATTCAGGTCATCACGCTGCAACAGTTCTTTCACCAATGAGAGGTTCATCCCAATAGGGGTATGATATGATATGATATGATACGATATGATACGATACGATACGATATGATATGATATGATGCATAGTTGGATTGTAGCAATTGATGGGTTGTGACAGGAGCTGAATAGTTGAAATTGCATCCTGAAATTTTGATACTATTACAAATACGGGTATTGGAGAGACTATGTATATCTACAGTGGTGTTGTTTATAGATATAAAATTACAAAGGGTTCTCATGCAAATACATCCATTTCTAATATACATGAGTGTGGTTTCAGGCGTTTCATTAGGGTGTATTTCAAAGTGATAAATATTTTGTTCAGTGTCAAGACAAATGTCTTGAGCCTTAATGGTATTACTTACACAAATAAATCCCTGTTGTTCCTGCACAATGCATGCATCAACATAGACAGTTTGCCACTTATTCCCCTTTTTTTGGGCCCATACTCTGTGTTCTAATGGACAGAGTATGGTTGCATGATGATTTAATCCCAACACAATAACTTGGTGTATATATAGTGTATATCGAAGCATTGCTTATTGTCCAAACAAACGCTGTGGCTTTGCTGTTAGTGGGATTGTAGGTGAGACTAACTAGTTGCCACCAGGACTGGAATTCCCTTTCAAATTTGGTTGCATTATTCCAAATTATCTTTCAAATTTCAGCGCAGAAGGTGCCTTCTTCACCTTCTCTTACAGTTGCTGCCACAGTTGATTGTACCCACAGGTGAGCTTAAATATGTCTAAGAGCAAGAGAAACATTAATTTGGGTTGCACCTAGTGCATTTACAATTGATTGATTGTCCTTTTCACTGATTCTTTCCCACTGGGGTAGTATATTAGATAAGAGCTGTTGATCAGTTCCCAATGCTGACAGAGAATATTGTAATGGTTGGTTTAATTTGTATAAATTACTTGTTGCTGAGCTTATTCTGTTTGATAGAACTTCAGCATCTATGCCATTTAGCACTCCTAATCCAGTTGCTAAGACACCAGTCACGTCTTACCTTGATCGTTCTAGAGAGGTGAAGGTTCGTCCATGTAGCTGTGCTAACCATTCTGTATAAGATGTATCCAGGAATGGTGAGCAGGTCAGTTTAATTGCAGAAATATTAACCTGCATTGACAATTCCACTTGTCTGAGAGACCGTGAGGGGTTACACTTGCTGTTGTCCTGTGCTTTTAATAATGGAGGGACCAGTGTTATAAATGTGAGGAGACAGTTCGATAGGAGGCTGAGTTGGTGAATATAATCATTCAATACCACTTTTGAATTGAAAACCTCAGATGGAGTGAGAGTTGGGATCTGTCCAAAGGCACATTATGAGTGTCGGATGTGGTATAGTGAACATATACCAGCTTTCATTTTAGAAAGGACAGGTATGTATGTATTGTTTTCCCTCAACATAACGTGTAACAATGTGTAAATCTGCTATCATGCATTCAGTGTGATTTTCAATTCAACATCCTACTAAGACAGTGTCTCCTTCAGTTCCCTTTAAAGATGGAATTGGTGGGTCTTCATTGTCATCTTTAATATTCCATTCTTGGCTACAAAAAGTTATGTTATGTTATTGTGTAGTACTATTGTAGATAAATTTTGATCAGGTATAGGTACGTCAAGAAGCATGTACACATCATTCCATGGCTGCCCCGTTGTACACAAGTTCCACATTTTTTGTTCAGTAATCATAAAATCAAACAATAGTTCTATACCATGTTTCCCCCAGAGGCAGAATGGAAGTACAGGTTATGTAAAAGTGAAATTGTACTAACAATCTGTTTCTGGTATATTAGAAGCAGATTTCCCATTGTTTCCTGTTTTGGAAAAATTGGTGTAATATGTTTTAATTTCCATGGGTTTTCCGTGGGTAGATCCATTGACTGCCCAACACCCTATTTTTACCTCTTTCCCCAGTGTGGCCTGGAGTGATAAAATGTGATGAATGTTAGTGTTATTGTACGATATTCCAATTCCTTTGTTCAGCATTTCCCATATCCATTCC